CTTAACTTATAACATTATTTTACAGGAAAGATAGAGGATAGCAGAATTCTACTCAGGTGTATTTTCTAGGTACCCCACAGCTAACCTTTGTGTCTCTTAACAGCTTACATCTGCAACCAAGCATGTGTTAACTTATAATGTTATTTTACAGGAAAGATAGAGGACCAAATAAAATCAGCTGTGTCCTCGAGCAAGCTTAACTTTCTTCCCTTCACCACCCACCCCAATGTTTAACTGCCTTTTTAGCAGAAAAAGACTTCACTGACTTTCATGTAAGTGGATTCAAACAGCTAACTAACTATTTAGTTACATTTTCAGCAACAAGCCTCCCCAGTCTTTTCCTATAGAGTGAGGAAAAGCCCAAAACTGTGTTAATTTCTCTTTATCCACCTTTGTATAACAACAATTACATCCCTGGAGCTGTCAGCAGAGAAAGATCTTCTTCCCCCTACTGACAGGAGACCAAACCTACACTGGAGGCTGGAGACGTTGCCATGACAACACGCTGTACCGACTCCGCCCTTGGCTGAAGACAAGCAGAACTGAGCAGTGACATTCGTAACTGGTAGCCAGGAGTTTCTCCAACAGCAGATGAACTTTCTTGCCAGAAGTTATGCTTCACAATAAAAGAACATTTGACTTGATAGCTGTTAAACATGGGACTATATGATACTGGGAAAGATACTGTTTCTTTGTAAATGAATCAGATGTTGAAAACAATGTTAACACCCTCAAAACTATATAATCTATTGGCTTGTTTTGCATGGCCCCTATCCCTTATTGCTCTCTGATAGTACTGTGTATTATTGCTGTTTCACTGTTTTTCAAGGTCTCCTTGCTGACTGTTACTGCCATTTGCTAAAATCACCACAGGAAACAGGTCATGGTCAGTTATCAAACTTTGGATTTTCCCGAGATGAAATGATAAAGAAGGTCGTGTCACCTGCCCCCTCTGACGTGCAGATGGTCGTGTCTCTTGCCCCCTCTGACGTGCACCCTGACTTACTTTTGAAGTGCCCGTCACAAGATACATGTTCTCTGGCACAGGAGCTACCAGGTTTTAATCAGGCGTTGTCTGATAGCCTGATAGAAGCCCACCGCCCTATGTAAATGAGGCATCCTAAAAGTACCAATCAGCTAAGACTTCTTCTACTGTCTCTACACTATAAATAGTCCTAGTTTTACCCCAATAAAGTTGGAGCCTGGATCACCTCACTCAGACTCGGAGCCTGGATCACCTCACTCAGACTCGGAGCTGGATCACCGAGACTGGGAGCCGAGCTAAGTCACTGAATAATGGAGCTGGAGCTGAATCACTGAGATCTGAGCTGAGTCACTTGTCTTGAGCTGTAACACTAAATCTTGTGATCCAGTTTTCCTGGGGGGCGCTATTCCTCCGTCACCGACTCACGGACACCCTGGCTTTCGCCGTTCCTCGTACGCTTCCCGTGTGGTCCAAGTGGCCAGTGGACCTCACATCCTGAGGAAGGTATATGGGTGAAATAGGGACGGGATCGACTGAGTAGACCTCAGTAGCGGAGGAGCTTTCACTGCCCAGGAGTGCGTGCTGGGACCCTGAGAGCCCAGCGCGTGCACGCCTATAATGCTCCTGGAAGACATAGGTTATTAAATGAAAATCTCAGTGCCAGGCACAAGATACCGCCTATGAGTTATTGGTCAGGAAGGCCCCAGATGCACCCAAAACAACGCAGGCTATGACCGTTGCTCTTGTCCTCATCCTCATGCCTCTCCCACACCTCCAGAGTCCAGTTGACATTCTCCATGAGCCTGGTGGAGCACCATCTGAGGGATAGCCACCATGCCCAGCAGCTGAGTGAGTTGGTTCTCATCTTCCTGATTGCTACCTTGGAATGCCTGATGCTCAGGCTGCTGGAGCTCACTGGCAATGAGGCCAAGAGTCTCATCATCCTGGAGCTGCTGGACATGGCTGTCCACAACAATGTGATACTCATGGACCTGCTAAGCTCCATCACCATCTCCCAGGTCAACCTGCCAGCTTGTCACTAACTGCTGCTGCCTGGCTCTGTGGATCCTGCCCATCTGCCCCTGCTACTACCCACTGAGCCCTTTTCGAACTTGACCAGCCCCTACATGACCTGCCCTGTACCTTTTCCAAGTTGTATTATTAAAGCTGTTCAAGAAATCTACCTACGGACCTGCTTCTGTCACTTTTCCTTTGGGCCTGGGGTAGGGGTGGGGTTGGCAGAATGGGCTTAGTTGGAGCACAGGTAATGGCAGTGGCGTTGGGGTGGGGGTGTGGAAGGTAAGCAGGGATAACGGAGGATTGTTGACTAGGCCCCCCTAAGGACAAGGTGGACAGGGCTGGAGGTAGACAGGACTCCTCTCTTGGCTCTGAGTGCGGGGGCTGGAGGGGCAGACTGGATTCTGGGCCAGTGGGGGGCGCACAGCTTGGCTAAATGCCAAGAAGGCCTTCTCTAGACCACAGACCAGACAGGAACCATGTACAAAGGCGGGCAGATTAGGTTATGCGGTGGTGGGTAGAAGGCTGCTGATTCGGAACTAAGGTCATGGAGATTAAAACCCCCATTTGGTGACCAAATTGATACTCAGCTGGTCAGCACGACCTGCCTGGAGGCACTTGGAAACTCCCATGGCAACAGACATCTAGCAACTGTAACGTAGCAACAGTAGCTCCAAGCTATGGCTTAGCTTGCTCAAGCCTAGGGGTTTGTGAAGGCCTGCAGAAGGCAGATACTCAGCCCAGCTCGACACAGTATTTGCATACAAAGCAGGCCCAGGTCCGTTGATTTCTGACACATCAGGCTCCGCCCCTCACAAACTTGCAAACTCTGAGGGCCGCCAGACAAACCCCACCGCACTTCCCAGACTGGCTCTAGAAGCGTTCTTTGCATATCTCCATGGTAACGATGGAAAGCTTAGGGGAAGGGGAGGGCGGGGAGAAGGGGAAAAGTGGGGCTAGGGAATGGAAGGGTTGGGGGCGGGGAGGGGGGTGTAGTGCACGGCGCCCAGACAGGCTGCAGCGGAAGTGACTTTATATCCTAGCGGCGGCGTGCGGTCTTGGTCCACCCGGAAATTAGGAAGCGACGGGCGCTGGCGAACATGGCGGCGGCCTCCGCGTCTACGCTGGGCGGCGGCGTAGGCCCCGGCCCAGAGGCCTGAGACTTCCTGGCCCGCTACCGGCAGGTGTCCAGCAAGCTTAAGAAGCGCTTCCTACGGAAGCCTAACGTGGCTGAGGCCGGAGAACAGTTCGCTCAGCTGGGCCGCGAGCTGCGCGCCCAGGAGTGCCTGCCCTACGCCGCCTGGTGCCAGCTGGCCGTGGCGCGCTGCCAGCAGGCGCTCTTCCACGGGCCCGGGGAGGCGCTGGCCCTGACCGAAGCCGCGCGCCTCTTCCTGAGGCAGGAGTGCGATGCGCGGCAGCGCCTGGGCTGCCCCGCCGCCTACGGCGAGCCTCTGCAGGCGGCCGCCAGCTCCCTGAGCGCCGCCGTGCGTCTGCACCTGGAGCTGGGCCAGCCGGCCGCCGCCGCCGCCCTGTGCCTGGAGCTGGCCGGGGCCCTGC